CTTGCGTCCCACCGGAATGTTACTGCGTTAGTTACTCGTGGAGACCTACAACAAATGAGAACAGCCAGTTAGTTCAAGCAGTATAGTCCTACCCCCCCAGATACACCTATTTGAACTGTCCGTTCGTGTCATTTACAGCCACCCACACTCTGAAGAACTAGGGTACTCACGCACACCTCACACCTACTGTTCTTTTCCTTCTGGGAGCGCTCCAGACACTGATTTATAACAGCTTGCTGCTCAAGGCCTGTCACCCCTGAACCAGCACTGGGCTGGCATCAAGTAAATGCTAAAGCATCGTGAAATCTCGCATCTGCTCCATTCTCTTTCTTTTAAGCTGGAAAGTAACAGAAGGCTCCAACTCCAGGAAACGCCTCAAAAGGGAATGAGGCAGGGCTGCACCACCTCTCCCGTACTCGCAGGCAGGGCAACTCCGAGCACTTTCTTCCCCACTGGGAAGCCATCGCTATTGTGTTTCGTCAGCCGTTAAGAAACCTTGAGAGAAGTCACTTTGCCAATGTAAATGTTTTGCTTTGCTTCCATCAATCACCAGATTCCATCAGCTGGGAGTTTCAACAGGCCACGCCGCTGCACAGCGACAACACCGCTTCTGAAAGGATGTCACCCGAGACAGCAGAAAGAAACCACGATAAGCAACACAAGTCAATCTTTATTGAAAACTGAAGTATTAATACAGAACAATTCTTGTTACAATAAACGTGCTTTTAAGAATTTAAATCTGAGCTCATCTACTCATTGAATTGCATAAAAAATAAAAAAGTATGAATTTTCACAATTGAACTGGCTCAGAATGGAATCTCCACTCTTGGTGTTGATGTGATAGTTCAATGCAGGAGTGAGTGATGCCTTAAAACTCATTCTGGAAGACAACATTGACCTAAACTTAAAAAAAAAAAGTACCAATACAACTGTTTGTAAGACAGTTTTAAAAAAAGTCATAAAAAGGAAACCTGTGTCTATTTCATAACAAACATGGAGAACTATTACTGGGCCTCTTGTACTTCCATTGCATGCACTCACTTGTTCAAATCGTAGACATGAGGGCAGCCAATAACAGCGTTACAATTAAAAACCCACTAACAAATTCATTCTACTTAAAACAAGTCTGTACAGCAGCCAGCTAAAAAAAAGCTTTCCCAGTTTGCCTGCTAAGTGCCCAAGAGCCACAACAGATCAGAAGTCACGTTCACTTTCTCAGTGTTGAAGCCTCAGAGCCCACGAATTGTTCGGAACACTTTTTCAAACCCCCAATGGACCCTCGCTACCTCTGCAATCCTGGTGTTTCGGTGTTACATTCAACCCGCACAAGAAAAGGTTTCCTTGTCCCCCGATCAGCACCGCTCCTCTTCCTTCTCTTCCCTCTACAAACCACGCTTTATTTTCTCCCAGCACCCCGACCAGGGGTGTACACAGCCTGCCGAGAGCCCTCACTTGGAGAGGATCTCGGACGGAGCGCGATCCCCGGTGAGGCTCGACGCACATCACGATCCCAACCCAGCTGCAGTTCTGTTAACTGGCACGCTACCCCGGCCCGCCCCGGGGTCTCTGCGGGAAGCTCAGAGCTGACACGATACCGGGTTAGAAAAGCCGACGCTACTGCCGAGCGCCTCCACGAAGCTTACATCCGCGCCCTCGCTCCAGGTGCTCACACGCACTCTGCCGCGAGGATTAAGGGTGGGCCAGCGACACCCGCTGGGGAAGGCTGCGCACGGATCGCCCCTGCTTCCCACCGACTGCACGCGGCGGGCTACCGCGCAGGACCCCTCACTAGCCACAGTCCTCTCCCCGCACCTCCAGCTGCAGCATCGCCATCGCCCTGTTCCCAAGACGGGAGGTTTCCCCGACGCGGTATTTACGCCTTCGGGCATCAGCTTAAGCCTGGGCTCCGCAGCGGCATGGGACTGCTCTGCTTACCGACTCACACAAAAGGATGTTCTAAACCCAAACGACGAGTCTGCGCTTCAGCGCTGGGGAGCGATTCTGACTATCTCCTGCTCAGCGACCTGAGGCAGCCTTACCACCACGCAGCGAAGCCACGACGGGCAGTCAACGCTCAGCACCCTGGCAGACAACTCTGTACCTCGAACTCTTCTCAGACAACACTACGACGCGGTGGTACTTACGGGCGGCGGTGTTGCTCTGGTTTTCAGCGGATGAAGCAAGACAAGGCAGGACTTCAACTAAAACAAAGGATTTCTTTTTCGTCTACCACTGCATCTAAGCACTTAACTTGCATAGTACACTCAACATGAAGCTCTCTTGAACAGCATTC